ATAACCATAACAATTGATAAGTCGACCGGTTTTCCCTATCATTGGCAATGTGGCTATAAAACACCGTGATTTGTGCGTCGCCAGAATTTTTTGGCAGAGGGGCAAAACATTTTTCTCCCCGAAATACCTGGATTTTTCCAGCATATTCACGATTTATCATTTTTCGAGGGTGGGCATTTTTCAAACAATATTACTTCGCGCCCCTTTTTCTGTCTTCTTCCCCCATCTTTTTTTTTTTTTTTTTTTTTTTGGGGGGGGGGGGCTTTTCCGGGGGGGGGGGGGGAGCGCTCCCGTGCTCCCCCCTTGTGACGCCCATGGGTGATGGTCTTTCACGATCGGTGATCAACCTTGCATGGACTTTTGCTATCGGTGCAGAGTGTTTTTTTTATATTATCAAAGTAAGTGGGTGAAAATATCCCAGCCAACCCCCCCCCCCCAAAAAAAAACCCCACTTTCTTCAACTTAAATATGCTGTGATTTCTGGGCGACGGAGGCTGCCGGCGTCATGGGCAGACTAAGCTTTGTTTAGGTTATCGGTACATAGGTAACTGTTGCGGTTGTACTCCTTTTGGAAAATTTTAGTGTGTTTTTATTTATACATTATTCAATATTTTCCTTTGATAACTCCGATGTTTAAAAAGACTGTGCACACCGGTGAATAAGTTATTATTCATTAGTTAAAGAATAATGTAACCAATTGGGTTAAATAGCGAATGTCTGTTCTGTTTGTGCACTATACAATTGACAAGGCCACTTAAGACAAGCTCGAAAAGATCTCGGAAGTTGCGGCTCGATTGTAGACCGTTGTAGCCTATACATCATGTACATGATGTAAAGGTATATGTTCTTAAAATTGAAAAGGATTCCATTATTTTGCTGAACGTCAGTTGGTGCATGGAACGCGTTTGCATGTGGAACACCCAATTTGTGAGCCCCCATGTAAAAACGATTGACCTCGATCGTGCCCCAATTCCACGACTGCAAAAAAAAATGGTAGCTGGTAAGTGGAGACCTGAAGCACGTGTTGTTGCGAGGGCTAAAGGGACAAGGTGATTGATGGCCAAAGAAGACATGGCTGGCACAAACCATAGAGCTAGCTCTATTTCCCACAGTGGTCTTAGCAGATTGAGTACCATGCTGCATTACAAAAATGTACACATCGAATCATTGCTCTTTGAAAAAACAATGATAATATTTTCTAATCTTAAAAATGATTAAATTCTAAATTTAATTCTTATCAAACACACACACCATGGTTCGAAAATTACATCGGTTACGCGGAAGTAAAATTTATCATATTTTCGCGAAAGGTATTAAAAAAACAGAAGAGCAAAATAAAGGCTCTGCGCATTTGCAATTAAATTTAAATTGCTCCAGAGCAAGGAACATAGATAAGTATAATACGTGCAAATGATTACGACGCAACACACAGATGCGACGGTCGCGAAAGTCCATCACCGTTTCGGTGATCACATTAAATGCCTCTTTGGCGTTCCTGTTTCGCCAAAAGCGGCATTTAATCGGTGATGGACTTTCGCGATCGGTGATGGTCTTTCGCGATCGGTGATCAAAGCTGCGATGACCAGTCGTTGAGTAAAAGTCCATCACCGATTGCGAAAGTCCATCACCGATCGTGAATAAGCATCACCAGTAAAAGTCCATCACCGATCGCGAAAGTCCATCACCGATCGTGAATATGCATCACCAGTAAAAGTCCATCACCGATCGCGAAAGTCCATCACCGATCGTGAATATGCATCACCAGTAAAAGTCCATCACCGATCGCGAAAGTCCATCACCGATCGTGAATATGCATCACCAGTAAAAGTCCATCACCGATCGCGAAAGTCCATCACCGATCGTAAATATGCATCACCAGTAAAAGTCCATCACCGATCGCGAAAGTCCATCACCGATCGTGAATATGCATCACCAGTAAAAGTCCATCACCGATCGCGAAAGTCCATCACCGATCGTGAATATGCATCACCAGTAAAAGTCCATCACCGATCGCGAAAGTCCATCACCGATCGTGAATATGCATCACCGATTGCAAAAGTGTATCACCGATTCGATGATCACATTAAATGCCTCTTTGGCGTTCCATAGGTATACAGTAGTGTACGTATTACGTACGTGCACCCACGTACACAATCGATCGCGCGCACGACGCGTAGCCAAGGCAGCATAGACTTAATTCAAGTCTGTAGAGCCAGAGACAGAACTTCGGCGAGTGAGTCCTTCGTACGTAGGCCGATATAAGACTTGAGTCTGCAAAGCGCAAAATAATTTGTTCTTTTTTTTAACGTACTATTAAAACGAAGAATACATTTTGTTTATTTTGCAATGTGTACTTGGCCAAAAACTAATCCAAAAATTTGATGGAGACTTGATTTTTCTACTCGCAAAAACTGCTGCATTTGAGATTTTACTTCCGGTGTAGCGTGAATATCCGACTCCATGAAATGTGGACTCATTGGATCATGGAAGTAGTGCGCACGCGTGAGTACGATACTACGCTATTTTTAGGATCGTTTGGGGAGAGTGACCTGTCACGTGCGAGGGATTAACCAATAAAAGGGGAAAAGGGGTCCGATTTTTTTTTTTAATATTTTTTTTGTCTTCTTCTTGAAATTCTCAGGACTTCACAAAGTCGACGCATCTCGATGGACAAGGATTGATTATTACTCTTTGTAAAGGGTATGGGCTGGATGCCTATAGAAACAATAATAGCTCAACTTCCTTAGGAAAAAAAACAGCCAGCGTTTGTAAGACTAAGACCAGACGTTCATGATTCATTTCCGGAATCCAAGGCCACATTGACCTACAATTATGGGTTTACAGGAAAATGTATGTCAGAACACCTAACGAAGCATTGTTTTGAATGTAAACTGGCGTTCACATTCGTTACAATGAATCCGAAGTAATAAATCACCTCATTATGGGTGACGTCTGCTCAGTCCATGAAGGTCCCTACCAAAACTGCTACGTTGTATACATTTTCAGTGTTCTCGACCCAATTTTGTGCGGTTTATCATACAATGAAAAAATAATGTACTGAGTGGCACTATAGTGTACGGCACATTATTTTGCTTAGAGACTAATACATGTGCTCATAATGTTCTTATAATTATGTCCAACTACATACGCATCAAGACAACCATTAATGCATGCGACAGCATTGTGCTGCAGCGACTGGACAGAACCATCCATGGTGGCTTAAATCCGTGTCGGCGAGTGGATGGAGGGGGGGGGGGATGCCCTTCAATTGCCAGGCCGTGGAAAGCCTAGCGGGAGGGGTTGGACACCACGTGACACTGGGGGTGCTGATCGTGATGTACGTGTGTGTTGCGCGCTTACAGACAGTGCATATAGCTTTTGTACTGTTTGTCCGATAGCCTGGACTTCATAGCATTCATTGTTTGTCACAATACAAATCTGGAGGGGGGAGGGGTGATCCAATGGCCAATTCCCTTGGTCAAAAAGTGAAGGTGAGATATAATCCCCCTCCCCATATGGACCGAGCAATTATTGTTCTACGACAGTGATCCTGATGCAGAAGCTATATAGGACAGTGCTATCGCCATTGAAGTAGTGTTTTGCCAATGTCATCGTGGCTAATTAACTTGCCGGCATTAGACAGTAGCTATATAGGACAGTGCTATCGCCATTGAAGTAGCCTTTTGCCAATGTCATCGTGGCTACTTAACTTGCCGGCATTAGACAAAGCGGCGACAATGATTTGGATATGGTCACGTGCGATAGTTACTTGGGGAAGGTTTAAAATAAGTAGACATTGCTCTGAAGAAAGGAATATTTTAAAATAATGAACAGACTTTAATTTTGAACACACTGTTATCCAGACAACGATTATTTGTAGGCCTAATTATTTAATTTTCATTGTCAAACAATTATTCATCATATTTTCAGTGTTCAGACCATTCTGCCCCGCCCACTTCCTCGATCCGCCCAGTTCTTGGATTCTTCAAATAAATGTGAAAAATGCAAAAATTACAAGCAGACATTCACAAAGTATACGGGCCTATAGACCTTATTCACGATGAAGCCATTTTGATCGTGTTCCCTGAATGTATTTTCTTTACATTTTAAGCTGTTGAATGAGATGGTGCCAGACTATTTACGTGTTCCAAGCCTCACTTTCAACTCTTTTTTAAAATGTGGCTCAAAACATTATAGGGTATTGTGTTCAATAACAAATTTTGAATAATTCATCAGAGCAGACCGGTATTAATTTGTAAATAACTTTATGTCATTGCTTTCATTTCTATTCGCAAGTTCCAAAATTCATGAACATTTGACCTCGCTTTCAATCTTATAAGTATATGGCCGACTCGAGAATAATAGACCATTATCATGTTGCGGTGATCTTGATTTTGCTCCCATTCAAATCAACGTGACCAAAGCGAGGCTGGAAGGAAAATTAGTCTGGTTCCTTTTTTGCACGAAAACATTATCATTCAGTACTGTTAGTGCATACAGGGAACATGACTGAAATGGTGGCAGCATGATAAAAGGTCTATATTGCCTGTTCATATCCTTCCTAAAAAGTGGGAAAGGTATGTCCGCCATTCATTTCCATGTTTGAAAATCCTGAACTAAAAAAACCCAAAAATTATATAATGACACTATCACAATTGAGTCTGGTGTCGCCTATATAGTGAAGAAAATTTAAAAAAATACTGAATCAAAAGTAATCCGCAAACCCATAATAATACAAGACTGTGGAAGTGTCCTTTTTATTTCAACCTCAAGAGGGCGCTGTATAATTTGTGTGAATGTTCCACTAATCTAATTACGCGGTCATAGGAAACAACGCGAAATCGGATACAAAGAGCGCCGCCTTGACACGCTCAGGAGTAAGATTGCAATATTTTTTTTAATTTTTATTTCACTGGAAATTAATTACTTTGACCTCCAGAGCAATTTTCTGTTCATTTTTTTACCGAGGAAGCCACCACAATTTTTTTTTAAGTTGTATATTCCCTCTTCCAAAACCACCCTAAAACGGTTGTCAGTCCCTGGGCCCAGAACCCCCCCCCCGCCTCTAGGCGAAATAGACCCACAAGTTTGGGGTTTTCCGACCAAAATCACCCGAGTTTGAAGCCAAAGTGACATATGCTTGATTTACATTTTACGCAGAGGTGATCCAATCATAGAGCAAGTACCATGAATATCCCATAGAGCAAGGACCCATGGCTGTAAATGGGAGCTTGCTATACCAGTCCCCTTTTAAGGGGCGGGGGGGGGGGGGCAGGCTGGTTCTTTATGTGGGTGAAACTGTTTACCTAAACCAAATACCGCCCTCTATTTCGTGGAATAGCCAATAGTTTCTAGTATGGGTAGGAGTACACTGTGGACACGATGGCTACGTAATAGATGATGATAAAGAGGACAGTGAAGACTTCGATGATGATGCCAGTAAACAGGCCGATCATGGACCACTTCTTGGCTTCTTGCGAGGCCGTCGCCGCCCCGGCCGCGTCTCCGGCCGCCCACTTGTTCCGGACCTAGTGGTGCAAAACATCCAGAACAGGTCAAAATTAACAGTTGATGAGATCGCTTAATAAAATTAAAGGACAGGGTATATCATTATTTTGTCATTTGAGCATTTTTGTTTCGTTTGAAGCAACATAAGTGCTCTGTGAATGCTGTATATTCCGGAAAAAAAACAATATTCTCGGATTTCAGTTTCAATTTAAAAAGTTCACGAATCATGTTTTGAATTGCCCACGAAATCTGCGTCCGAGACACGTTCTGATTAAGCCGATTGCAGCAGTAAAGCGATGTCATGCACTGAACCGACGAATTATAGCAACCGCGCGCGTGTGTGTGCTTTGTGTCAACGCTTGCTCGCACCCATTCACGGCTTCACCGAATTACAAACCAACGACTAACGGAAATTTCCAAAAATGCCTTATTTTATTGTATTCAAAATAACAGCATGCCAGAAGGAATAATTACGCGCGGAGATTTAGTGCCACTATCTTTAAACCAAGTATATATTCTTTTCAACAATAATTTCGTCAGTTACTTTTTGGATAGCTGCAAATTATAATGATTCATTATTATCTTTAAAGGGAAAAAACAACATTTGCAAACATCAAAAAACGAAATGATCAAATTACCACGAAATACCTTACTGAATTGTTAGGGACTGACAGTCTAAAGCATCCTTTAAAATCGTGGCTCCTGGTGGGCTGACATTTTCAAGAAAAACTGTATATTTCCAACGCTGGTCGGCCGACCAGCGTTGGAGAAAACTAGCTTTTTTTTAAAAACTGTTCTTAATTTTTTATATTTAGTTATTCTGACTTTTCTTTGCAATTGATCACACACCTGTGAAGGGGTACAAGCCTGCTAGACTGATTCTCTGACCTTACAATTCCCCAAAGTGTATTAATTGCTTCGTTTCATCTTAAGTGGGGCCAGGGAATCAGACTACAAGAACATAATAGGTTTTCTTGGTTTTTCCAGCATCTACAAGCCCAAAACATGAAACAAGTCAGTTTAACTATATTTTATAACATACTAATCCTCCAAATCCATTTATTTCTGAAAATTGCAGCAAAAGCAAATGTTGTATACTCCTTTTAAACAGAGGAGTGTGTTGACGTTAAACTGACGTGTACCTTTGAAATTTTTTGGTGGGTTTCTCAAAGTTGACCTCTTATTTTCTTTGACTGTCTTCGGATGTGTTCTTTGAAGCTAGTCCATCATTTGCAGCTATCCAAAAAGTGACTGACGTCATTATTGTTGAAAAGCAAACTTGGTTTAAAAAAGATAGTAAACTCTCATGTGAAGTTATTCTTTCTGGCAAGCTGTCATTAAGTTCAAAAAATCATTGAAAGAAGACCATTATCAACGATGCGTCTTGAGAGTTATGAGTATTATTTAAAAGAATTTTGAAGTACTGGTGTCTATGGGAATTTATCTACTTTGTTGCACCTTTCGATAGTGTGATGGAGACGCCAGCGAGTGAGGGTGATGCGTGATCAGGTGATGGGTACCTGCTAAATGCAGACACAGAAAACGAGCAGAAAAGACCGCACTTACATCCATGGACTTGACGATGCCGACCAGTCCAAGCGGTAGGCAGCAGAAGAGCGTGACGATGATCGCTAGAACCAGATAGTCGTTGGGCTGTGCCCCAGCGGCCGTGCGGACGATACCTACTTGGCCTGGGGCTGCAGACGCCTACGTACATGGGAGAAATTTTGAGAAATTAAATGAATAAACAAATAAATGTATCACGCCGAGACATTGTGTCTGGCGTCTGAAATCGTCTGCATCACTACAGCCCGGCAATCTCCTCAACAGCAACAACCACCACAATATCCACAATACCTATAACATCCACAGTAGTACTCTAGCATCCACATAACCACAATCCAGGCGCGGATCCAGTGGGGGTTTGGGGGGTTAACCCCCTCCCCAGCTCTGACTCATTTTTTTGGCATAGATATACATACCCCCCCCCCCGCTCTTACCCCACCCCAAAAAAAGAAATCCATAAAAAATAATAATAAATGCACTAGCAAAATGTAAGAATTTGACGTACATGTGAACGGTCTCCCCCTAAATGAGAAGGGTGCATTTGTACACTTTTAGTTAATATAGTGTGCCCGATTGTAGGATTTTATCAGCGCTCCCCATTCGCTAGTCCCCCCCCCCCCCCGCCCGGCAAACAGGGCGCTTGGAAGGGCAGATGAACTTCACAGAATCTTGTGAAAGAAGTGGGGATGGCATGCTGGGTAATTTATCATGACCTTTGTATAAAGCATCTGGCTGCAGCGGTAGACCGCGGTTGGCCAATGCGCGCAAATACTATCCGAAAAGTTTGCCATAGAAATGCATACACACCATACCGGATGTGATTTCTTTTTCATTGCGGACCACGTGGAAAAATGTTGAGCGTCGAATGATATGCATTTCGACCCTTCGTGAATTCGAAACGGAGCCTGAGCAACTGGCGGGAATTGAAAATTTACAAAACATAAGTTTTACAGATTTTCCTACCTTATTATGCTTTTCAACTAAAAAAAGGGCGCCGCATTTATATATGAGAATAAAAGAGTGACGAATGACTCAGTCTTAACGGCCGTTTCAAACCTTGCAGGGTCGTGGTCGTGATGACTTGCAGGTCACAGGTCACGCAAAATCTATCCAATTAGAGCGTTGATTCGTCAGCCCTTCCCAGCGTCCTGTTTGCAGGGCGGGGGGGGGGGGGGGGTACGAGCGAACGCTCCCCATAGAACATATGACACGAATATTGTGAAAGAAGTGGCCCATGACCTATGTATAAAGCATCTGGCTGCAGCTGTTCAAGACCACCGTCAGACAATGTGCGCAAATGCTATCCGAAACGTCCCATAGAAATGCGCACATTCCATACCGGATGTGATTTCTGTTTCATTGCGGACCATGTGGACAACATTTTGAGCGTCGCATAATGCAATCCGACCGTTCGTGATTCGAAATGGAGCCTGAGCAAGCATGGAGCAAGTGACGGCAATTGAATTTTTACAACACAGATAAGTTTCACAGAATTTCCTACATTATTTTTTACATTACGCTTTTTCAACGAAAAAAAAGTCTAAACTGGAATAAAAGAGTAATGAATCAGTCTTAACGGCTGTTTCAAACCTTGCAGAGTCATGACTGTGATGAAGCGCGGGTCACTGGTCATGCAAAATCCAACCAATCAGAACGTGAATTCATCAGAGTATCCCAGCGTCCTGTTTGTAGGGCGGGGGTACGAGCGAATGGTTGGTCGTGATAGCGCCCTCTCGCGGCGGCGGGTTGTCGCGTATCAAACCGTCTTGCCCCTAGGCTTACTGTCTAGCCCCTAGTCTAACTCAGTGTCTAGCCCCTAGACTAACTGCCACTCAGAATTAACAACGTGGCAACAAATATCGCATGTGCACCCTTCACATCCCCCCCCCCCAATAAAAGGGTGATTGATTCACTTTAGTAAAGTCAGTGGCCGAAGGGGGAAGAGGGCCATCACTCCATTCGTCGTCCGAACACGACTCATCAGAACGTCGGCGTATCGCTCCGCCATATCGGGTAATAGCGTAGACGTCGATGATTCGTGGTGAATTCGCTTGCGACTATATTAAAGATTAGGGAACTGTACTTAGCGCTATTTTACAAAACCTCGGCCTTGTATCAGCTTTGGCCTGTCTCCATCTGGCCCATTGTTTGCGCTGGATGTATTTTTTGTTTAATGGACATTATATTATTTAAACAAAAATTGTTTGTCCGATTCAAGGAACCAAACGTCGTTAACTTTAAAAAGGCTTCAGTAATTCCAGTCAAACAACAGCAAGACATTGTTGTATAGTAGATAACTATGGCATTAAAATGCCCGGCATCAAGAATTCCATGAGTTGAATAATAATTATCAGACAAGAATCATCTTGAGGGCGCCCTGTGACAATGTAGCTGCCCTCTCAGAATGCATAATGATGCGGTGCTTGGAATGTAGGCCTAAAGAAACATGATTCCTCTCGTATTTTACGTTACCGTGACAACAGTGGCTTGCTGCTGGTTGTAGGCTGCCTGCGGCTGATACCCGACCTGAAAAAGTTACAATTAGTTGATTTCTACGATCAATTAATGTTCTGTCATGGGAAATATTTACAGAAGCGCTTTTGTAATAAATGGGGTCCGGTAACTAGCGGTGAATCTGGCATACATTGCCCGGAATTCCGGGTATGACGTGCGTAGGTCTGAATCCCGCCTCGCTTCGTGAATTCAAAATCACAACGGTAATGTCGCGCGCAATCAGCCTGTTGCAAAATGGTTTATAGGCCTGGCCACGTTTGCAGGTAACGAGCTTCGATTTTTTGATGAGTTCGAATTATAAAGTATCTCTGGTATCAATAAAGAGAGAAATATTGCTGTTCAATATTTACAACATATGCAGTTGAAATGCTTGAAAGCTGGGCGGGAAACAGTCTGTGCGCGCGTCAGGCATGTTCAAAATATCTCGGGTCGAAGTGTCAAAGTTTCCCAGACTTGATCGATGAATTATCTTGTTGATAACGCCCTCTACCACCACGGTGGCTTTTAATGGACCGATCCAGTAAGTCCCGCCCACTGCGCACTGGACAAAATAACACGTGCCAATGCCACACTGCTTTTTCCTGCCGCGCGCATCATACGCGCGTGCACGCACGTCGGACTTTTGTGCACGCACGTCGGACATAAATCACGGCTGTGATTGGTCAGAACGCCATGGGGCGGTGCTTACTGGATCGGTCCATTGAGCGCACTTGTCAGGGATCGGCTGCACCAGGGGCAGGGGAGCATTAATCTAGATCCAGAATGGGACCAAGAGTTAGGATTAAAATACCTGTTGGGGAGGGTAACCCTGCTGTGGAGGGTAGCCTTGCTGAGGTGGGTAGCCCTGTTGAGGGGGGTAGCCTTGTTGTGGATACCCCTGTTGAGGGGCCGGGTTGCCCTGTTGCTGGGGGTAGCCCTGGGGTGGCGGTCCGCCGACTGGCTGACCGGCAGTGACTTGCTGCTGGTCCTGCGGGGGCTGGTAGACGGGGGGTTTCTCAGTCATGACGACGGCTGGTTGAGGAGCAATGAAACACGACGTGAGCGAGGTAAAATGGACTCAATGCGGAAACTGTGGGCCGCGCTCTCGGGCCCAATTTCTTTCGTCCCCACCTCCTCCCTATATCCAATGTACTTATTAAGTTACCTCTAAAGGGTTTATGAAATGAATTTTGCATTTGAGCATAATTATTTGTAGCAAATATTCGTTTTTCTGATAAGTGAAATGTTTTGCAAAGTGCCCTTTTTCAAACCAAACGTTTCATGCTAAAATTCTGCTCAATGAAAAACATTTGTGAATGAAGGCTTCTCATTTGTTTGCTATCGCAAATATAATACTGGGGATATAATAACCACTGAAGGTGTTCACAATCTTAAAGGCATCATTTGCATTTATCCCAAAAGCAACCTAGCGAATTACTGCCAACCAGCTTGTTTTCATTGAGGATCCGGTTGTACACTCCGTGAAAATAATCCGTCGGTCTTGCTGTCATTTCAGAAGAAACTTGGTGATTTCCAATGATCTGTCAACTGACTGATCGTTGGAAATAAGGAGTAAAGTGTCGTGATCAAAAAGTTGTGCACGGCTTTTGCACTGTTTCCTGGGAAAGTGGCCCACTGAACTGAAATTTTAACGGGTCAGGCTTAAATTAGAACGGACGTCTCTGAATTCTAAGGGGTACTAAATGCAAGAAAAGCAAATGATCCTGTACGTCTTTCGTGTATTCTTATTTTGATTCATTGGAGAATTTCTGTCATACTGTCCCTTCTAAGTCACGACACAGCTCAACTAAGCGGAAGTATACAGGGTGAATAAAAAAAAACGGAACCCAATGTCGGGCCCATTGTTCTACTGAAGTTCTGCATGTAGGTCTTTTAAAATCTAGGACATGAAAGCCAAATTCATAAGCTTTCTTTTAGTACAAAAATTCTTCACACCTTTTATGTACTGTTCAAGTTTTAAACACAACCGCAATTTTAAGGTTCTGTCCGCGGATCACAAAAACAAGGATGTGTGTGAATTGCTTTCGTTTTGCTGAAAGAACACACACCTTATTTGTGATCCGTGGATCAACGGTGGTTGTGTTTAAAACTCCGTAACTTGAAAAGTATACTAGTGATTCGAATGATTCTTGTACTAAAAGAAAGCTTATGAATGGGGCTTTCATATCCTAGATTTTGAAAGTGCTACATGCAGAATTTCACTAAAACAATGGGCCCGACATTTGGGTTTCATTTTTTTTACCCACTCTGTATATACTTGAACTTTAGATCACAGGAAAACGTACAGGGATACACACGCGGAACCGGAAACTACTTTAAGCGGTTGCAACAGGATCTATGTACCGGTTAGGTTTGGTACTGCAGGAGCTGTACGTGCTGCTCAGCACACAGCCCAAACTCGGTAGGGGACCAATATTTTGAGTTAGTAATGTGTAACAGATTTCATAATCATTACTGGGTCCTTCAACTTTTTGATCTGTATTTCGCGGTTTCTCTACACAAGGAATTTATTGAAAATATCGTATTCTTTATAATTTATTCTGTCTACATATAGGCAAGTTCGATTTTGCCGGTTAAAAGATATACAGATATTGAATGCTTCAAGTGGTGTAGTAAAGCCTCCCGAGGTGATCCATGGACGTTATTTTCCTGGACGGGGCGAAGTCAAGGGAAACTTATGCTACATGGATTACCGAGGGAGACTAGTTTTAAATTAAACTTCGATTTCAATACAAAATACAAGATTTCTAGTATAATTCTGTAAATTTGGGTCATTCTGAAAAAAAAACAAAGAACAAAATTATATATAAAGGCCTTTGCGTTGAAACAGCTTCTTCTTTTTTTTGCCAAACCAACCCTTGAACAAATTGGCAAGCCATTTCAAGTGGTGATGTTCCCTGACGTGTACGACTTCATTGGAAGCTCTATTCATTTCTTTTTTTTAAATTGCATGCCAAATTTTTAGAGTAAATTTTGTGGTTTTTTTTTTTTAAATGTGACCGATTTTTGACGGGCATTTGGCAGAATTTTGCCCTGACCTTACGGTAACCATGATGGTACATTGGTTGCTAATGGCATAGAACTCTGGTTGCTACTGTTATAGTAAAATATTTCGTACACTGGAAGATAGCCAAAATAAAAAAAAGAACAATGTGACTCGCTCTCCGCCAATCAAGACACAAATCTGTGCGTGAGGTGTCTTACAAAACTATGTAATTCAAAATAGAGACTTTTGCTTCTAGTTTAGTTTCACAAATGATTCGTATAATAAACACGATATCGCTTACCTGGTTCGGTCATGTTGCTACACAAAATATTCCGCTTTTATAGTCCAAAGAAATAAACTCCTCTTGAGACGGGTCACAATCACAAAGCGTGCGCTGTGCAGAGAGATTCGAAATCAGCCAGAAGAGTAACAACAAAAGTAGAGGCCTCTGCATATAGTTTGAAGAAAGCTCGAGAATATCCTTTTCTGCACTTCCCCTGCACTGCAAGGACAGTTTTAACAGAACAAGGCCGCGGGGAACACACGTACGCAGCTACAAACGGTTATGACGTCATCGGTCAACATGGTCCAGGAATGGTCAGATTTCGCTGACAGAGGCACAAAATAGGAAGAGTATAGTTTGTAATGACAATGGAAGGAGGGGTGACGTCATATGCTAAGAAAATAGCGCTCCAGCATTGGCTGAAATTTGAGGGACAAAAAAGAACGGAAATTAACTTGGTATGACCAATACGTAGCATGTGGTGACGACGCGTCGTGTCGATTGGCAGTTGTTGAGATACCGGGCAACTTAATTGTGAGTGATGGTGTAGCCAACGACATATATCTCTTGCTTTATGAAATTGAGAATAAGCCTCTAATGACGTCACACTTTGTTTACATGTGCCCTTTCCTACAGAGCCAGTGTGGTCCACGGTCCACTGAGCATCATAGAAAGCACATACTTAAACAAAGTGTGAAGTCATTAGAACAGAGGCTTATTGATTGGACGGATATGCTTCGCTTGACTTCTTATATCTTTGAGCTCTCATCGGACGCATTTTGTTTACCCTGGTGACATTTGCTACAATGATACCAGAACCGCCATCTTGGATTGTGTAACTTTTTCTTTGCGATTCGATGCTCTTTTTGACTTTTACTCTTTGTGGGACCACCTTTTACCCTTGTTTTGTGAATAGTTTAACATTTTAGTTGTCATTTAGCGACAGCCCCCCCCATGAAACCTTGTCGCCCCCCCCCCAGTCGCCCCCCCCCCCCCCACTGAGATTTTGAGTTTCTAAAAAATTATCATTGATCTACATGACTCCCCCCTCAATGAAAAGTTCCAGCGCCCCGCCCCCCCCCCCCCTGAAAAATTCCTGGCTACGCCACTGCCCACGATATGCTTTGTGACGTAGGCGTTTCCTTAAAAAAAAAGAGTTAAAGGGATAAGCGATTCACGCAACAAAAGGTTTACCCGCAGAGCATGAATAAACAAAAATCGACATGTCTTTGAACAGTTTAAAACACAACACTTTTCTTTTTTCCCCTTTTCAAGCTTTCTTTCTGTGAATAACATTTGTTTGATTCATCAGATTTCCGCATACATCTGTGCTTGTGAGTGGTGCCGCATGTCAACAATATAAAAGGACGGACGATCAACTCTGCCCGTATACGAAATTTTCTTGCTATAAAAAGATTAGTGAATAAAGTGATTAAAAACTCAAACACCTATAAAACGGGACAAGATATAGCGTATATCTATGTACAGAAGAAGTGACTTTGTACGAAGTATCACAATGATTCTCTGCATTTCTCATGATCCCGGATATAAGCGAGTGCATTGTGTTGTTCATGCGGTCAAAGTCACACGCGCGCGCCGGACGTTCAGTTTGACCTTGCAGTGATATGTGGTCATGCAGCCGGGCACGTATCGCACCGATTCGCACGTTAAGATCGCAGTTGAACACGTGATATGCTAGACACACTTTGATTATGTATAGACCAATCATACGCTACGGTATATGACTGCATGAGGCCCCCTTCAATGGTCAAAAGCGTTGTGCTAGCTATTGTTCAGATAATCCATCACGGGACAGTTGCTTTGTACAGTAGCGTGCACAATGGTTCCTCCATTGAAGGGGGGCCCGTGAGTGTACATTGATCACCCGCCCGGATTCGTATATATCGACCCATGTGTACAATGCTAATGTGTCAGGCTATAGAAAAAAAAAACAAGTGACATTTCAGTGACACGTCACCATAGTTTGATAGTTTGAAACACATTTGAATTAACAGGGGTTATGGTATTTGCCAGGAATATACTTATTTTGCATGTTCTGTAAGATGTAACGAGGATAATTTTGATACCATAAAGTCGACAACAAGCCAATCAAACGGCCTTAAAAGGACAGCAAATTTGACCATCCTGCGAATATTAAAACACTCACGCGCTGAACCATTGACCGAACGACCGATCGACTGACCAACCGACAGACCGATCATTTGGATCGACTGACCAACTATACAACCAACTCAATCAACCAATCGTCAAACCAAGTAGTCAACCGAATGACTGTACGACCGTCGACCAAACGGCGACACTGGTTGACAAACCGACCGTACGACCGACCGGAGAACAACCGCCCATCCAGGCCTAGTATAGCCGGCCGGCCGACCAGCCGGTCAGCTAGTCAGTCAAACAGCCAACAACTATAGGTCTTAAACAATATTGTGCTGGATAGTTCTCCACTTTCGCCCCTGTTTATGTTTTTAGAACAATCAATGACAATGAGGTCGCATACAACGGAAGGCCATGGAAACACACAGACCGCTATGATTTCCTATTTCATGAACAAGTCAAGGCCATTCAGCTGGATGTCAGCACGTACGTCATGTCCAAAATTCATTCCATCACGAGTTCATCGCTTCCAATAAGTTCCATTCAAAATTTCAGGGTGGGTATTCATTGAGGGCGGCGCGGTGTAGGCCTAGCGCCTTAGCGGAGTTTAGTTGAAGAAGTCAAGTTGTCACGTGTGACGTTATGATGTCCTGTCCCGTCGTGTTCTTATCTACTACATTGTAATTCCAACCGGTGTGATATGAAAATCGGACTCCTTTTCCCTAAAAACCCTCTCATGTGAGCATGCGCGCAGAGTCCGCATTTCATAAAACCTAAATTCACGCTACACCGGCACCTCAAAACTTTTCCACTTCAACTTCGGATCCGGTCCATTAAAGGGACACTCCGTCCTGAAATCCCCGAAATCATTTTCATGTTTTGTTTTGATTGGTTACTTATCCTATTTCAAACATCTGATTGAAAGGAAACCAACCTAATGTCTGACCTTTCTCGAGAAAAGACGGGGGGCAAAAACAGGTTGTTTACATCGGACACGACGGAGTACGCATACGTTTTTTCCCGTCGTTTTCAGTCAATGTACGATACACGTTGTGTGTGTCACATAATTACACGCAGCAGCAATGCAAAAAAAAAAAGAATGTGGTTTCGTAAACGTCCGCAGAAGGTAAACACTTTACGGCCGGAATAACAACTAGCACTAAAACAGCTCGACTTTTAATTTGGGGTCGCAAAAGTGGACCACGAAAGTCGTTCTCGCACGCACAGTACAAGGATAACACAAAAACGCACAGTTTTTATAGGATAGTTGTGTGGATGTTTGTATCTTACTGTAAAATGTTCTTTCCGATTAACATCATTTCGTTCAAACCGTGTTTTGTAGCCCAATTTGGCGCAATCTAGGACGCAGTTGTCCCTTAAAGCCCCGCCCACTCAATGGTGCTTTGACCAATCACAGCCAAGACTGATGCCAGACATGCGTGCACAAAAAGTCCCAGGTGCGCGCGTATGACGCGCACGGCTGGAACATGCAGTGTGCACGCATTGGTTAGCCACGTGCGCGGTGGGCGGGGCTTAACGGATCGGTCTTTCGGGCTGTAAGCCGGCCAACAAGGATGTTAACACAACATAACAAAGGGGCAATACACAAACTAAGTAACATAAACTGTCCCATATAAAGCGAGATTTATTGATATATATATAATTAATGTTTAAACACTGATTCTATAGAATTCAATAGGATATAACCTCTAAACACAATAATACTCAACCATGAGGCCATTTCGTACTGTAGATGTTCAACATTATTCATTAAGTATGTAGGCCATAGGTTTTATTCACGCCTCAGCCATCTTAAATTGAAAGCAAAGTAAAATCTTCATTTTTGGAGCTTGCGAATAAAAATGAAAGTAGTGAAATAAAGTTAATTTCAAATTAATTTCAGTCGGCTCTGATGAATAACTTACAATCTGTGATTAATTGTACATGAACTGTTTAAGCCACATTCTGAAAAAAAAAGTTGAAAGTTGAAAGTGAGGCCGTGTCCGAAACAGGCTTCCAGAGCTACGGCTACGTCTATTGTCAGCGCGTCCCCGCGTATTTGCAAAGGGCGCGGACCTAGACCTAGCTCTAGACAGTTGATTCGGATGCAGCCTTAGGCTGCATCCGAATCAACTGTCTAGAGCTAGGTCTAGGCTGCATCCGAATCAACTGTCTAGAGCTAGGTCTAGGTCCGCGCCCATTGAAAATACGCGGGGACGCGCTGACAAGAGACGTAGCCGTAGCTCTGGAAGCCCGTTTCGGACACGGCCTAAGACTTGGAAAGCATAAATAGTCTGGCACCATCCCATTCAACAGTTTACAAGGCCTACGTGATTTTGTATCAACGACTATGTCGCGCGGCAATGTCGCACACGCGCGTGTGAACACATTTCGCTCGTACCCCCCGTCGTGCAAACAGGGCGGGGTACGAGCGAACGAACAGATACTTTGTCGTGTACATGTACACGCGCTCATTGATTTGTGCGACGAAATCACGTATGTATATGACATCAGGGAACGAGCACGATCACAAAATGTGCTTTCACGTTGAATAATATTGTGTAGACTTCCTGTAAGCCAGACATTTCCAACATAGTAAATCAAACCAAGAAATATGTTGTGGTGTTCTTTGAAGCAATAAGCCTACGTACTGATAACGTCACACTTTGTTTACATTTGCATTTGCAGCAATGGGGGGCATGGCCATTATATGTTAATGAGACCGTTGGTGTAAATATGAATATCTTTGAACTATAAATGATGGCTCCCCATTTGATACCGGTAGTTGCGCGCACGCGCGGGGTTATCACTGCGTTGCATGCCGGTATCTTATTAGCGAATGCTTGAGTCACCGCACGCAGCGCGTATGTTAACAACCGTCGCGCGAGCACGCGTGACTGACCACAAACCATTTTGCGATCGCTGATTGGTTCCCTGGGAAAGCCTAGGGAGAACATTAAGAAAAAGTTAAACGGCTACTACAGGATTCCTAAGACGCTCGTGCGAGCAGGCGCGCTATAGATATGCACGATCGATCACTAGCGTCTTGGGCCAAACTACGAAGCAATTTTCACATGTAACCGCTGAACCCCAGCATTGCCACTTATTGTGCATTCATTGTTAATGGATTATAACATAACAAAATACACTTCCAAGATGGCGGCTGAATGCAACCAATCTATAGACGTGCCTCACACACAAACCAATGACAATGCCCAGCCAACTTCAAACGACTTTAAACCGGTTAACTTGCACCCCAATTTCATGTAGCACAATACGAAAAACAGATTTACTATTTAAAACTTTCGAATAACGTTTACTTAGTGTATTTCTTTTTTTATAAATTGTAATAATCAAAGCACAATATTTTCCTTTCGCATAAAGCTGTTACTCCATGTACATATGTACGTGTAAGTACTAAGTTATAAATACACATGTATAACAGAATACATGACGTCAAAACCACAGTTATACATTGTATATAATTAAAGTACAATATACATAAATGGCAAATAACCATGTTAAAATATATAGGATAACTTTCTATAACTATAGTGCAATTTATTGTCTTGATACACTTGAGTTCTCTACAATACCCCTTCGATGGGACACAATCAAGGCGTTCAAAACCATTACATTGTGTTTAAAGCTATAGTCCATCATTTGCAGCTATCCGAAAAGTAGCTGGCGTAATTATTGTTGAAAAACATACTTGGTTGAAAGATAGTAAGAGGATTAAACTCCCTGTGAAATTATTCTTTCTGGCAAGCTGTCATTTTGAAGTAATCAACGAAAGAAGGCCTTTCCAATGGTGCGTCTTAAGACGCACCGTAGGAAATTTAAATTAGTAGTTCGTTTTGTTATTCGGCGAAGCGCGCGCAAGCATTGGCACGACGCACACGCATCCCCGGTTGCTATAATTCGTCAGATCAGTGCGCGACATCGCGTACGGCTGCATTCGGCTCAGCGAGAACGTGTCTCGGACGCTGAATTCCGGCGCAATTCAAAACATGATTCAGCAACTTTTGATTTGAAATTGAGATCCTAGAATGCTGTTTTTCTTGAAATATACAGCTGAAGCTGAGCTGAAACTTTATCAGGTTAGTTGTTCAGTACCCTTCTTTAGATTTTGAGCACTTTTGTTGCTTCAAACGAACAAAATGCACAAATTAAAAATGATGGACTATAACTTTAATATCACACCAAGATTGTACACTTTGATTTATGAATAAAAAAAAATAAAAACATCCTCAAACTTTTGGAGTCTTGACACAAGCGGGCGCAAGACCCTTCAATCTTTGTTGACTGGCATAGATCTGGGAGTCACTCTCAACACTTTAATCCAAAAACCGCTCTTGTGCACTACATGTTAATCGAACTTGATTTTCTTTTTTTACATTTGACCTTGGTTCTCTGACCTGGTGACCCCCATCCTACCCAGGGCAACTTAAGAATGACCATTTCAGAAGTACCCCCCCCCCCCGACAATAGATTATTACTATCAAACATTTTGTGCTCAAATCGTTAATTTTTCCATATCACTAAAAAACATATGGATGAATGATCCTTCTAATTTCTAAAATACTTCTGAATTTGAAAAAAAAAGAAAAGTGTAGGTGCACTAAGCTGATTTTACTATGGAAATAAATAAGTAAAGTACATGATTTTAACGCACATCTCGTAAGTACTGCCATTAAATATTTTGAATACAATTAAAAACTATATTGTTACCGGTAGCACCATTCCAACAAGAAATTGTGGAAGTCAATTTGAGATTTGACTGCCACTTGTCGATGAGATATGCCAACAGAGGGTAGCTTTTTCAACACAAATCACCAAAAGTCACGGTAAATAACTATCTCCAGGTACATTACAACTTGCCTGCTGAAATTTTCCAAGAGAGGGCGGCCTTGTTTGATCAAAAGTCAAAAACACAATCGCACAGATATTACAAGGTGTTCCATATTTTTACAAGAATACATGTGCAATAATGAGCGGGGTTGCATGATAAAGCCTAATAAAAAAAAAAAGGAAGCCGGTGACTTTTTTCCCCTCCAAAATGGCCGCCAGACCGGAATATTTTTTTTGTTCAAGATAGCCGCCATTTTTTTTATAAATGTTATATGGCCGCCATTGGACTCAGGAAATGACATACCAGCTTTACATGGGCTAGATGCAACAGACAAAGAGGCCAAAATGATGTCACTGTTAAAAATGTATCTCTTTTTCGATAAAAAAAAAAAAAAATAGAAGCTAATTTTTTAATTTTTTATTTGGCCTTATCAAGCAGCACAACTACACTGTTCAAATAAGACTACACTACATGTAGCTGATAGTTCGCACGTTGTTACAATAAAAGTACTTCACAAAATATTAGTGTGTACAGGTGTATTGCTCAAAACATATACAAATTTACATCTCTTATATATTTTCAATTTTATATCAATAAAACAATAACATGATCAATGGCTTTTTTCCTCAATCTGTGATTTAATTCAGATTTAAGAATTTTTGGTAAATTTTATCAAATTTTGTTTGAATATTTTTTCTCAAATTTTTTCTCAATATTTTTTTCTAAAATGAGAAAATGGGAGAAGGAAATAAAATTGAGACGTTAAACAAAACAAAAAATCAGGAAACATCACTGAATACATTAAAGATTGCACATCGACAATAATTTACGTTACACACACTACATATGTACATTTTTGTACATTATGCAACGGAACACTGACACGATTTGTTACTGAACCTGAAAAAATACATGTGTACACACACATAATGGCAAGGAGAACAAAACATTGACTACTTTCCGTCCTAAAAGGAAGGAATTCCGCAGATTTATCTGCAGATAATCGAAAATTTTTGAGCATGGGGGTGCTACAGGTAACCCTAAAATACCTTTTTTTTCATTTCATTAAAATGAAAATCATGTCCAAGTGGTATCCATTGTTACCGACACAACGAACTGACACTCACGCACAAAGGGGCGTCAGTTCGAAAAAAAACAACGTAATCAACATTTTCGGTCTAGCGAACTGACACCTGGTAAAGCGCACGCAGATCAACACGAAATAAGAAGATTTTCGTTTTAACGAACTGACACCCAGGCATGATGTGGCAATACACAACGGAGAAAAACGGTTTGAAAGGTTTGACACGAATTTAATCCATCCGTGTACTCGTGTGATTATACAAAATTTTAATTCGAAAGCGTTTTAATTGGTAAAATTAAGATCAATGTCTGTTCGTGAAACTGAAAATGTACGGGGTGCGCTCTACAAGTGCCGCACTGTGGAGGATGTCAGTTCGTGAAACCTAAAATATTCCAGTTCTGTAAATACGCGCGAGTGCGGCGCACTCATGCGCACAGTGTCAATTTGTGGTGACGGTGACGCTATGACCAAGCTAGTTTAGGCCAGTGTTCCAGTGTTGTCTTATTCACACCCAAAAATTGTTTAAAAACAAAATGCTCATTTATTTTTTTGATTTACATAAAGTATTTGTTAACACGGACTGTATGTTCCTGCACAAAATACATATCAACACCCCCCCCCCCCCCTTGTATACTAACTTCTTGTCTTATTTTAACGTAATCACCCTCTACACTTGTGGACTTAGTTTAACCCTAACCTTTAATACCAACTCCATCAAAATCCATTCCCCTATTTGGGGAAATGTTGGCAGATACCATGCGTACCAAGTCCATCAAAATCCACCAGCACCAGTGGTGGATTTCAATGGATTTGGTCCTGAAGCATTATGTGAAGCAGCATGAGTGATGGATTCTGACAGACACTGTCTTCCCTACTTAGTTACACTAAGATGGGAGTTAGGGTTAAGGAAAACGTTACTTGATTACTGTAAAGTACGCTTCTGTAAGTGTTTTTATTTTAATTGCCTACATCCTATCGCCTCATCACAAAAGGGTTAGATGTCTGTTCTTCAGTTACAATGTCTGGCCTGAGTTATAATACTTGAATACCCTGTGTAGTTCATGAAGTAAGTGTAGATTAACTTCAAGGCTGTTTTGTTTTTCTCAAGTTTAAAACTGAAATACATGTACGGTACGTTCTACCTCAGATAACACCTGAAACTTCTCATGGAAACACGTTATCAAACTGTGTCCAACGAATCAGAAAGAAAGAGAAAACTAGTTCTACTTCAATCAAAAGTAGGATTTGACTAAAACCAATCAAAGTAAGAAAACACTTTGGGAACTAATTTAACAAAAACAAGGTCTCCGGGATTCGAACTCACTACCTTTGGCATTCAAAATGATCGTTTAAGTTCTGGAGCTAACAAAGCCCTTCAAACACTGTAGAAAAATTAAGACCTGATATAGATTTGCCGTGTTATGTTGTGATTCTGTAACTATGGCTGTTGAAAAACGCGTCATGGCTTCTGTAAAAATAGCCATCTCGATAATATAAAGCACACAGGTGTGTCAAAGTACTTTCAAAGACAACGGGCTGATATTTTTCAATTAAGTAAACTGCAGTGAACATCGCTTGAACATCTAGTGAACACTAGCGCATTGCCCTACCCTTCAATCGAAAATTTCAAAAGCCACATATATTCACACACTTCATTTTATTGAAGAAAACTAATCAGTATGAAAGTTGCCATGTCGCAACTATGACCAAAGTTTGGTTTCAATTGGACTTCAATTTTTCAAATGAGACCAATTTTACATTTTCAGCCTATTGTACAACTTGACCTCAGATGACCTTTGACCTTGGTATGTGAGCTTCGACATCTTTATCATATGAAGGTTGCCATTATACAAATATTGAATGCTTCGAGTGGTGTAGTAAAACTAGGCTCCCGGGGTGATCCATGGACCATTCTATTTTCCCGAGGCGAAGCCGAGGGAAAATAGAATGGTCCATGGGTCACCGAGGGAGGCTAGTTTACTTCACCACGAGATAAAGCATTCAATATTTGTTTTATAACACTTCACCCACAGATTCTGCTTGGTTTTAATATTTTAAATTATTTAAATCTGAACACAGTTGAAATAAACTTCCATTTCAATACAAAATTGGTGGAAAATGTATTTCTCTCTTCCAAACTACCCCTTCGCGAAATGTTTGAACCCAACTCTGTGGCGCGCTCTTTTTGGAACAAAACGCGCTACGCCCAACGCGCAAAGCGCACACCAGCATGCACTTGTACACAAATTTGGGGTCCACACCGTGGAAATAGTACTTTGGTTGCTAATGGTATAGTACTTTTGGCCGTGCACAGAAAGATAGCAAAAATAGAAAGTATCATGTGACTCGCTCTTGGCCAATCAAGACACAGAATCTGTGGATGAGGTTTTATAAATAGCATCTATGACCAAAGTTTGGTTTCAATTAAACTTCAACTTTTCACATAAGACCTATATTTTATGAAACTTTTACATGTGTACCACCGGTACATACCATACGTATACAGACCTCTACATGGTCATTGCAAAGTCTCTTTCCTGAACAAAGTTCAGGCGAGACAGAAATGCTCCCTTTCTGTGCACTTGCTCAATGCAAAAGGTTACCACTATCTTGACTATGCGTGAATTGTGATCCATTAGGCAGGAAAAAAAGAGAGATCTTAAAATGATTAGGCTCACTCCAGAAATTTGGGGTCCAATTTTGTGTGTCCCTGTTACATCTGATAGTATACAAATAATGAATGTTTGTGAGTGCAATGGTAAGACTAATTTCATGAGGTGACAGATGAAATGTTCCATTCCACGAGGCAAAGCTGAGTGGAATGGAACATTTCATCTGTCACCGAATAATACATTGAATGTGATTGTTCAAGAGGTTGAGAACAATCACATTCAATTTATCTCGATTTAAAACAGCGCCACCACCAGCAGCAGTGACACCTGTAGTGCAATGGAAGTTCCATTCACAGTGCAATAGAACTTCCATTGCACTGTGCGCTGCGCGCCACGCGCGCTGGTACGAATAATTCAATGACATGTGATCAACGATCCACCAATCAGATGACGGGGAATTTATTCAGGTGTTGTATAAAAGATTTTGTAAATTCAGGACACATTCTTTAACCCTCCTGCTGTCTGAACAGTCGCACCACAGATCGCATTAGTTCTGATCAAGGTATGTCCCCCCCCCCCCCCCCCCCCCCCGCCCCACACTTTTGAGAAGTGATTGACGCCCCTGGTACCTACCAATAAAAAAAAGAAAAAAAATAGCTTGAAGTGAATTTTAATGATACTTGCATGGCAATTTACGCAGGTCAGGTGTAATTGTTCAGGGACAGCAAAAAATGTCACACTTTTGGACCCCAAACTTATGGAATGACCCATAATGCAAACCGACAGTCATACGCCGCGTCCGGATTACTGGTCTAAGGCTTGCAATTATGCATGTGCCTATGGAAAAATCAAAAGCCACTTCCCAAATCCAGGTTATTGGTAGCCGCAGCCATTAAAAGTCATTTGGATGCGGCCATATTGCAGCCACAGCCCAACGTACATGTAGCTGGCTATTTTTTGTTGTTAACTCTAGATACAAACCCGGGCAGCCCAGCAGGGCTAGCCGTAGTAATCCGAGTCAATGTAGGTGTTGAAGTCGGACGTTATGCTGGACACCGTGCTGCCGAAGACCACAAACCAGACGATGATGATGATGATGGCCACCACCTCCACGATGAGTCCGGTCACCAGACCGGCGATGTTCCAGTTCTTGCAGGACTGGGAGGCGCGGCCGGCGGCCGCGAAATCCTGGACTGCCACTAGGCTACGCACCTGTTGTGCAATTATAAGGGGAAAAAACAGGGTTAGATTATTGACTCACTCATGGTCAAAAGCTGCACACAAAACGCACCTGTTAATGACACAATGATGTGTGACCTCAATTTACACCCTACACAAACCCACACACCAGTGTGATGTTATTTTACCGCAAAGTTTGGTGCTATATTGTCAGGTGCCACTGTTTTGTCGACGGTAACCTTTTTCGGTTGATGGCGATTCAAATGTTCTCATCCTTTTAGCAGGTTAAAGCCCTTAACATAAGTCCGACGCCTCATAGGTCCGATGCCTCATACATTTGTAAGTCTGAAATTTCGGTCTTATGAGGCATAACATTTATTTATTCCGCCTCATAGGTCTGACGCCTCATAAGTCCGACGCCTCATAAGTCCGACAACGGAAAAATGAGACGTTTAACTTGTCGGACTTACGAGGCGTCGGACCTATGAGGCGTCGGACTTACATGTATGAGGCGTCGGACCTACATGTATGAGGCGTCGGACTTATGGGCCGTCATTTGGTTAGGGGATGCGATTTTGTCGGACTTACGAGCCGTCGGACCTATGAGGCGTCGGACTTATGAGCGGACCCCCTTAACAGTACTAAAAAAAGCTTACTGCAAAACACTCCAGTGGCCCATTTTGATCGCCGCATGCAAATTCTAACTGGCGCACTCTGCATGCAACATTTGACTGGCGCAGCACGCAGTTCCAGGTGGCAGTTTTGAATATCTGAATATTCGGTCAAATGTATTTTGAAGTAATCGAATACTATTTTTTTTTTTTAAATGAACAGCCCTAGACGGTGGTTATAATGTGAAAATGCTAACGGCTTACATGTGCACATTCACAATAAGCTAACAAGTGCATACCTTACGTACATCACACAACCACGAACCAGCACGTACATGTATGCATTGTGTCTATTCCATTATGACTTTGTACATTGTAATTGTCACAATTCGTGAGCGGACTCCATAAGGAACATTCAGAGTTCTACATACAATGTAAAACCTCCCCCCACCTCGTTTCCATGGGTGCGATCTTGCCGCGCCATGTTGGTTCCCATCACGCCTTGCGCGATCTTAACCCCTGGAACTGTGTTATTTAATTGTGGGAATATTTGGCACATTCAAATTAGGACTGCAGTCGATGTACACATGCGACTGCAGTTGATGTACCAATGCGAAGCCATGCTTAAAATTTTGAAATATGAAATTCGATATCGCGTTATTAAGATTTATATTAAATTAACAACCTCTGTCGTCCCTTTACAACACAACCTACAGGTTTGTTTGGACGAAAAATGAGGCTGCCAAGATCCATATTGTACAGGCATCATGCAATCTTGACAAAATGTTTGTGCGTGATGCATTATACTAGGCGTGCAGTCTTTGAAATACGCGCGCAGTACGCTCTGAATAGCTGGTCAGCGTCGTTTACATATTCCTCACAGCCAGGGGTTAGTAAAGGAGACGCGCCATCCCACTAAGTCGAGGCTGAACTTCCACTTACATTAATAGCAACAAGGCATTTCCAGTGTTGGAGGTCTCGAGACGAATCCGTCGAGGCCGGCTCGAGTCTGCCCACTTTGATGTGTTTTCCATTTCAATTCAGTTTAATTCTTTACCATATCAAACCTTTCAGAAGCGGCCACAGTACAGTGAGTTTTGTGAAACGAAATAGACTTTTAAGCGGATACGCACGAATAAATGAACTGGTAAATCGTTGCATTGAAAGTTCTAACGTACATGTACGTAGCATCTTCGCCTAGCCTACAGGGACAAGATTGCATCCGGGATCAGGTCTAAGCCTTGTTCATGTTGTTTGAGTGATTTATGACATATTTTAATACCTGAAGCTTGCCTCGGCCTTGGCCTCGGAGGTTGTGGCTCGGAGGTTGTGGCCTCGGCCTCTTCCTCAGAGGTTGTGGCCTCGGCCCTGGAGGTTGTGGTCTCAAACTACAACATTGGCAATTTCACCTTGCGATACTTACATCCATGGACTTGATGAGGGCAATGATTCCAAACGGCAGACAGCAAAACAGCATGACGAAGATGGAGAAGCAGAGATAGTCATTGGGCTCAATCCTGATCTCTGTCCTGACCATGGCTTGGTGCTGCGGGGCGCCAGTCTGTTGGAGAAAAAAGCACAATGCCAAAACTAAAAACAAGAATAATATCAGATTTCTGATACTTGGTTTAAACCCTTCACCGATGTACAATGTACACATGTATGAAATGTACACATGTACATTCTACATGTAGTTTTATAACAGAGCTTTATTAACCCTAACTCCCTAGGCCTTTTTGCTAGGATGTAGCCTCAATCCTGCAAAATCCTCCAATTGGCCTCATGGAAAAATAGCATGTAGCCTCAATCCTGCAAATTCCTCCGTTATTTCTTGAATATGGTCCATGGAGGGGTGACCACTGCCTGAATCCTGCAAAATCCTCCGGCTATGACTGTCAATAGGCTGAGGCAGAGGCAGTGACATCCTGGAGCAGTGCGGAGGATGTCAAGTATAATCAAGGGCTAAATTTATGCACGGCTGAGCATAAACAACACAAGGTCCAGCCCAAGACCTTGACACAGTGCGTACTTCGAAATCAGCAACCCACTTTTGCCATGTAACCTCAATCCTGCAAATTCCTCCAATTTGCAAAAAGGATTTTGGAGGATTCAGGGCGGTTAGGGTTAAATTACTAGAGTGCTGACTCATGTACAAAGTGATGCCTGCTGGGCGCATCCATGTTTGTGCACAAACCTATGAAAAATTCGGAATTTTGAATGGCTTTTGTTCAGCTTTTTGCATATCTGCGTTTGTATTCTTTACAGGTGCGTTACCAAAGCCCATAGGCCCAAAACCGAAACGCACGATCAGCAAATGAGCGTTTCATTTTGCTCTAGCAACAGCGCAATGCATGCGCGTATCCGCTGCAGATGACGCGCTTAAGTTGACGTGCTTAAGTTGTTTGCGTACGTTCTACTAAATTGTGACATAATAAACAGGACTCCCGATGCAGCGTAGGATTAACGAGTCCTGTTTATTACAGAAATGTACGTCACGATTGACTATGTTTTGTTTGCTGCCCCCAACGACGACTTTTACACAAATTGTACGTTCGGGTCAAAACAGGACCTGAAAAACAGCTCTCAAAAGTACCTTTTGTACTCATTTCATGACAGACACAATAGTCGTTTTTATTCATCATACCTTAGGCTACCGGTACATATACCCGAAAAATGACGGAAATGTCTTCGAGCATTCCACAACCTCTTTATGAATGTGCCTTGTGCCTGGAATCCTTTGTATACCCTAACATCAACTCAGGCAAGTTTGCAGGCAAGCTTAAGTATCATACTTGTGAACATGTAGTAGGTGAGCTTACACCTCCTATAGATGCAAACATACATTCTGTGCCAAGTTGTCCTTGAAGTCAAACTCAATCAAGTGACTGTTTTCAACCCGTAAGAATTCCCAGCCCACATACGTAAAGCTAGCCTTTAGTCAAGTCCCACGCGCTTACCCGGACACGTGACGCACCCCGGATGCTGACACGTAAAAAGACTAGGACGAGCGGCGTAGCCGCGAGGGCCTTTACCATCTCGTGGAGAACGCTTATGTTTTTCTTTACATTTGTCTACCGATTTGATAGACATGCATAATGCATTACCCGTTGTGAATTGACCAATGAAAATGCAGAATTACTAACGTAAATCATGCAGCTGTCGTCTGGTGCCAGACAGCCATGGCGCGCGTGCTGTTGCTGGTAACCGCAAACCACTGTTAGATGATTGGTTTATATTGTTTGATTATATTACGTGAATAAATGAATAAGTGATTACCGGTAGTTCCACGAGATAGTAAAGGCCCTCACGGCTTTGCTGCTCGTGCTAGTCTTTTTACGTGCCAGCATCCAGGGTGCGTTACGTGTCCGGATGGTCCGGGTATGGGCGCGTGGGACTTGACTAAAGGCTAACATAAAGCAGGATTGACCGCCTTGGACTGATTTTAAGTAACTTGATACTGCTAAGTATAGCAAGGTAAGTGGAATTTTGACTGTCTGTGACTGCTTAAATAGCAGGACAATTAAATGACCGTAACAAAACTACCGTAAAATGATGCTAAAATTGCTAAACAAAGTAACAGGTTCATAAACAAAGTAAAAGGTGCTGAGCAATATTTTCTCCTTTAGAATGTTAGAAGTATGGACCCGGTTTCTGACCAACAGTAGACAGCGAAAAATCCTCCCTCACCTTAATTGTGACTTGTCCCTGGGGCGTGTAGACGGCCTGGGGTACATAGGTCTGGGTGGTGTACCCTTGCTGCGGTTGCTGCGGCTGCTGCTGCGGGTACCCTGACTGCGCCGGATAGCCCTGCTGTTGTGGATAGCCCTGCTGTTGTGGGTAGCCCTGCTGGGCTGGGTAACCCGGGGGCGAGGGGTAGGCCTGCTGCTGGGGGTAGCCGGGTGCCGTGGGCTGGGTCGGGTAGGGCTGGTCTGGAGGGTAGGCTGGATCTGCAGTGGACAGTACATGTAAATGGGAAAAAAAAGATTAATCATTTGACTAATGGAAGCCTTAAACATGTTCTTACTTAACCCGAACCCTGAAGGCATATTTGTATTTTGGCTACAAGTGTTGAGGTGACAATTGTCTGCTCAGTGAAGCAAGATCCATCAGGTCAAACATACATGTAACTGCAGGCCAAACTGTTTGACATGTTTGGGCTGGGTATACTACAAGTATACATGTTATACATGTTATATCAGTACACATGTATAGTCCTGAAAAGAAAATAATTTCTGAAAAATCATGTCTCAAGTCAATTCACAGATACACATTACCAGTGATAATTGAATTAAGAAATATTCTCAAGTTCTTTGTACCGGTATTAACATGCACAATGTACATGTACATGTAGGGGCACAATATTGACTCATATGTACCGTACATGTAATTTACAGTAGTTTACATATGTACATGTACATGTACATGTGATGGGACTTGAAGTTTATAGGGAGTTAAAAAAAAAGGACAATAAATAATTACGTGCATCAAGGGCTTATAATTTGGAAATACAATAAAACTGAATTTAAATTAAGCCTTTGATGCAACATTTTACTGAACATGCTGCAAATGAGGTTTTTCCAAAATAGTGCAGACAATGATAAACTTACACGTGTATCAGGACCATGTACATGTACATATGCTACTGGTACATGTACAATGATGTACATGTACAGTACCATGTGTAAATGTACATGTACCGGTACATGTACAATACATATGCAATTGCCCTGCCTACACCGCGTTATGGGGAAGTTTTTTATTGTTCATTGTTAGGCAAAGTAGGACCGAGTCATGGGGGACTTTTGAAGACAAACAGCAATAAAAGGTCAATTCCAAAGATGTGTCAAGTGACATATTTTTTTGGAAATCCGTCCCCGTTTGCAATTGGGCAAAACTGGCGGAATGAGAATCATGTCCTGATGCTGACTTCGGGAGAGGGTGCAACTCAAAATATGATTCAAATTGGCAAACTTGGGAATTGAAGTCGAGATCCAGAATACATTGTATTGTGTACATGTACTACATGTACATGTACATGTACATGTATGTATTTTGTTCTGTTAATTTTCTCGATACAACATTCACCATGTTCACAGAGCTAAAACTTCATCAGGTTAGTTATTTTTAAAATGCATCTTACATTTTGAGCACTTTTGTCAGTGTTTGTTGGTTAAAAAAAAAACCAATGAACATACAGGTATTACGAATTTGGTCTGCTCTACGGTACCTTTAACCTTAACTCCCTAGGCCCTTTTGCTAGGATGTAGCTTCAATCCTGCAAAATCCTCCAATTGGCCTCATGGAAAAATAGCATATAGCCTCAATCCTGCAAATTCCTCCATTATTTCTTGAATATGGTCCATGGAGGTGTGACCACTGCCTGAATCCTGCAAAATCCTCCGGCTATGACTGTCAATAGGCTGAGGCAGAGGCAGTGACATCCTGGAGCAGTGCGGAGGATTTCAAGTATAATCAAGGACTAAATTTATGCATGACTGAGCATAAACAACACAAGGTCCGGCCCAAGACCTTGACACAGTGCGTCCTCCGAAATCCGCAACGCACTTTTGCCATGTAACCTCAATCCTGCAAAATCCTCCAATTAGCAAAAAGGATTTTGGAGGATTCAGGGCGGTTAGGGTTAAAGGGAATATACAACATTTGCTTTTGATGCAATTTTCAGAAATAAATGGATTTTGGAGGATTAGTATGTTATATAAAATATTGTTAAACTGATTTGTTTCAGGTTTTGGGCTTGTAGATGCTGGAAAAACCAAGAAAACCTATCATGTTCTCGTAGTCTGGTTCCCTGACCCCACTTACATTTTTGTAAGATGAAGCGAAGCAATTAATACACGTTGGAAATTGTAAGGTCAGAGAATCAGTCTACATGTAGCAGGCTTGTACCCCTTCACAGGTGTGTGATCAATTGCAAAGGCAAGTCAGAATAACTAAATATGAAAAATTAAGAACATTTTTTGAAAAAAAAAGCCAGTTTTCTCCACTGCTGGTCGGCCGACCAGCGTCGGAAAAATACAGTTTTTCTTGAAAATGTCAGCCCACCAGGAGCCACGATTTTAAAGGATGCTTTTCCCCTAACAATTCAGTAAGGTATTTTGTGATAATTTGATCATTTCATTTTTTTGATGTTTGCAAATGTTGTATATTCCCTTGAAATGTCTGCATGTAACGGAATGCAACATCAATTATACTGTACAAAGCTACTCCAGCTCAGTCACAGTGCGGGTGTATAATAAATGACTGCCTGTAGACAAATTACTGGTGCATGTACAGTGTATGGTACATACCGGTACATGTGAACTCATTTCCCTTACCGGTACATAAAAACACAGGCCCTACATGTACTTGTATTGCATTTAAAGGGAAAATACAACATTTGCAAACATCAAAAAATAAAACTACCAAATCATTTTGAAATACCTTGCTGGACTGTTAGTGAATGACAGTGTAAAGCATCCTGTAAAATCATGGCACCTGGTATACTGTCATTTTCAAGAAAAGTGGTATTTTTGTATCAATTTCCAACGCTGATCGGCCGATCAGCGTTGGAAACAACTGGCTTTTTTTTCAAATACTGGCCCCAATTGACCATCGCACTTGTTTGCAATCGATTACAAACCTATGAACGGGTACGAGCCAGCTAGACTGGTTCCCTGACCTTACAATTCCCCAATGTATGTAAACTGCTCTGTTTCTTCTGATATGGAGTCAGGGAACCAGACTACAGGAAAATGATTGTTTTTCTTGGTTTTTATAGCATTTTCGAACCCAAAACCTCAAAAAAGTCAGTGTAACTATATTTGCTATATACATGTATTCCAACCCCCCAGTTCCATCCATTTCTGAAAATTACAGCAAAAGCAAATGATGTATATTCCCTTTAAACACAGTGAAATGCCAAATGAGATAAATGACAAGTGCTGTTGGCGCAATTTCAGGGTGAATTTGCACAGTACTGTATGGTGTCCAATCACACAGTGCAACTGCCTCCCGCAACTGCCTCCCACTGCCTGTCTGACACAGGCTGGCAATGCATGCACAATGAAGCATGATATTACAACTGTATTAACCGCTGGCCGTTAGCACAGTTGGCCCATTAGGTATTCCTGTGTCAGTGCAGCAGGCGCAGAATGGATGCAGCACGTACCGTACTGCGTGGGCTTTTGTGCAGACTGTGTTCTAGTACGTGCTCGGACGGGAGGCATTTATAAATAATACAGCGCTGGATCCCGCCGGCAACTTAGGATGAAGGAATGCCTGTTTAAGAACCCGCATCCGAGTATCAATGGACTGTACAAGTATTCCAGATGTGCACACTACTGCACTGTGCACATGTGTACATGTATGTACATGTACATGTATACAAATCAACTGTACAATGTACACACACGATACATGATCACATTTTCATGCCATACACGTGTCACAAGCCATGAACATACCTGTACACATACCGGGTAACGTGTACAACATACACGTATACATGTACAATGTACACACAATCTTAAATGTCTATGATACTTGTACATGTACATTGTAATTAGTCCCAATGATGTATACCCATGTACCGGTATGTATGTTTAAATACTGTACATTGAACTTCTTCCAAATTAACTCAAATGTACATGTACCCATATTCAGGTCGCAGACTACACATTTATAATGTATGGAATATCCCCAAGTCCCCAAAACTTGGAGATGGCTTTTGATGGATTTGGGGATACATGTATGTTAGGGGACATTTACAGTTCACTGATTGAAAACCACTTTAACTGACGGTTTCCTTTCAGAAGGCGCTTAAGAGCAGTACAAATGTAGTAAGATCCTCTTACACAGCAAGGGTCTATGATATGTACAATGTACATGTATGCGAGCAGATTTGACGATTAATCATGCAAAACTGCATCTTGACCTCGAGATTTTGACCATTTAGCAGGTGCCTTCTACCGGGCCTTTGTATTCCCGTCGTTGTTTTCTGAAAACAAGGCAGCCAAATTAACCAATCAATGGCTTACACACAAAAAAATGTAGTCCACATTTCTGATTGAACTGGCATCACAGTTTCTCAAGGCGACTCTGATAATTGGCCCGTGCACGAGGTCGGATACAATTTGCATGTTAGGATATCAGACGTTCGGTCATGTGGCTCACTGCACACGTAAACACCTGACATCCTCAACTGGTCTAAACAGGGATTTCTCATATCTCAAGACGCCCACATTTTTTTACCAACTACATACTGTATCGAAATAGGAAAAAAAAATGCTATTTGGTGGATGATCGAATATTACCCTAACCCACCTCACTCCTCCAAAATCCTCCTGGCGGTTTTGGAGGATTCTAGAGGATTGAGGATGAATGGTGATTGAATCAAATGAGGATTCTGGAGGATTGAGGATGAATGGTGATTGAAGCACATGAGGATTTTGGAGGATTGAGGATGAATGGTGAATGAAGCACAAGAGGATTTTGGAGGATTGAGGATGAATGCATTTTGAGGCAGGACTGTCTGATGATTTTGAAGGATTTGGCGTTGGTTATCCTTCATTTAAACACGAGTGCAAAGTTTTGGGATGAGGAGGATTTTGGAGGATTGAGGATGAATGCATTTTGAGGCAGGACTGTCTGACAATTTTGAAAAATTTAGGCGGAGTTGAAACATTTTGGAGGATTTTGGAGGATTGAGGATGGTTGTAAGCAACAAGGGCCTAGGGGCCCTCATAGAAAATCTCTGGCAAAATCCTATGTTTTTCGTATTGAAAATACATTTTTAAGCTATTTTCTCCTAGAAAATAAGAACAAAATATATTTTATTTCTATTACATCAAAATGAGTACATTTTGCCACTCTATTTTATTTCTATTTTTAAAACTGCACGCTATTTTATGACTATTTTTGGAGACTTAGACATTTTTGTGTGGTCCAC